AATTCCGACTTTGCTATGACAATCTGGTGATTCTGAATCAGCTACTGTTTTGTTATTAGTTTAAGTATTTGCTATTGACTGTTCAAATGCGGAGTTTTGCGCATCGTGTGTGTGTGTGTGTGTGTGTGTGCGTGCGTGCGAGCAAGAGAGCGCGAGAGAGAGATGTGTGTGTGTGTGTGCGTGTGTGCGTGCGTGCACACATCACAGTGGAGTCAGCTGTCTTAACCGTGGCTTGTGTGCTGCAAACACATATTCATCCCTGTGTCTGTCACGAGACTCTGCTCCCCTTTCGGGCTCTGTCTTTACATTTATTTTGAAAGATGAAGCTCGCAATTATGGTAAGGGGCGTTACATTTCCGACGAGTGCTTGCGGTGTTCGGCCAATCACAATGCACTGGGTCAGCTGGCCAATCAGAGCAGACTGCGCTTGTCAAAGGAGGGGGCTTTGTTGAAAACGACATGTTTGAGAGAGGCGGGGCACAGAGGACTTACAATAATGTACAGTATTTGAAAAATAATGTGTTTTTTGAACATTAAAGCATGTCAACATACTCTGTTACACCAAATACACAAAATAATGATCTTTAAAAAAGCATCATATGACCCCTTTAACATATTGTGATGCCCTGTCCGGCCGGAGCGTAACATAACATCTCTACATTTGTGATCGGATAAATAACAAACAACAAGTGCTACTCTACACTGCCCAAAAAACTTGTGTTTGAATCGTCAGTGGCAAATTCTTTACATATAAAAAACGTACTTACAGTCTGCGAGTCAGAACAGCCGGCACTGAAGTCTACTCTACCAGGATCGGGAAACAGTCCTCCATAAAATGCGCTGGACACATCTGAATATTTGGGTTAAACTGTTCTGGAACAGTGTTGTAAATACAACTAAACCACTGATTTCTAGTAGTACCCTCTTTTGGAAGGCCAAACAAAGCAGTTTCGCTTTCACAACGAAAAAGCGTCACACACCGCGGCCTTGAGTGAGCGGAGGCCGAGGGCTAGAGTGAGCAGAGACGGGCGGGCTTGAGAACGGCGCTGCCAGCGGATTCGACGAAGGAGCGTCCGGTGGGCTTGCGGCAACCACATGTGACGACCCCGGGCTGGACTCCGCTTCGTCCACGGTGAAAGCCGATCCGGCGATCGACAGCGCGAAGTTGATGTATTTCCTCAGCGACCAGCACGGATCAGCTCCAGGCATGACGAAGCGGATATCGTCCTTTTTTGGAAGGCCAGCCAAAGTAGTTTCGCTTTCACAACGAAACACAGCGCCTTCACGACATGGCGGCAGCAACAATACTACAGCGAGAATAAAAGTTACGCCTTCTTTCCGTGAACATTTGGCCGGTGTTATGCAAATCTTCCCGCATCGTGACGTAGACATGTGGGGGCGTGTTAGAACGAGCTGTTTTAGGTAGGCGTGGTTGACTCTTAACTTTTATAAAGAATATCTCTTTGGATTTGAGACTTTAGTCTTTGCAACTTTACAGATCTTCTTTATGCACCAAGAGCTTGTAACACTCCAAAGAGAAAGGAAAACTTGAAATCGCATCATATGACCCCTTTAAGAAATGTTTTTTTGGTATACAAAATATTCTTAACTTTATTCTTAAGTTAGAGGTTAAGAATAAAACAGCAGTTAAGAATTTCATTCTTAAGAATGTTTTGTGAATCTGGCCCCTAGATTCTGGTTCTAGTTACTTTAAAACACTTGCTATAGTCATGGCTTAAGGGGCTGCATGCTAGGCACTGTATTAAAAAAAGTTTAATGTTTAAATGTAAAAGGCAATCGTTTGATGTTTAAATGTCATAAATATATTAAGATAAAATTTATTAAAACAATTTTAATAACTGCAGAATAAAATGGTGAGTGTTGTAGATAGGATTTGGAACTGACACAAAGGTAAACAACTTTTGTTTATTAGACAAGGGACATGGTGATTGGCTGATGTAGATCTCAACATGGTCACACTTGACTAGAATCAAATATATTTCAAATGCAGCAGACCTTAGTGTACATCATTAGGGCTGTTGCGATTCATCAATTTTATTCGACTACTCGATTTTTAAAAATCCTTGACTTAATTTTGCTCGAGTCGACTAACCGGCAAAATACTGGAAGTGGCACATTTCACAGACGAGAATGTATAAAACACATTATTAGTCTGTTTTCCAAGGCTGCATGATATATTAAACTCATTTTAAAATAATTTTAAAAATCATAATTAAGCATACTTGTGAATTCACAAATGCTACGATTTAATTAAATAATTATATGCGATGCAGTTCTAATACAGTATATGCGCTTTAATTATTTACATGCGTGTAGGTTAAGTACATGCGTCACACATAATTTACATGTGTAGAGCGTCTCAAAGTCCATCTCTGCATGTTGTTTGGGTTTATTATAATGTTCATCTGGGAACGCAACATGCGCCATTTCATCAGATTTGTAAGGTAAATAATTTATAAATCTAGGCAAACACAGAATACATCGCAGTTTCAAAATAAAAGCTCAAACCCCGACTCTGAGTTTACACGTTTTGATGTCCACATATTCATTTAATTACAGTGGCTATAGCATTTCTGTCCTAAAGAAATGGCCAAATATTAAAGATTAAGTGGACATTTGAATGAAATGATGCTTGGTCAATATTAAACAAGTATTAGATCGCACAGCAATGTGTAAAAATAATCATTAGGATGTTGGCGCCCTCTGCAGGACTTTGTTGTAATGCGTAATGTACATTAGCTCTATTGTTTATTATACATGATGTATTTTAACAATTATTTGAACTAATTATTATTGCCTCATTGCTATTATATGTATTTTTAAGTCATTTTAAAGGCTATAGTTCACTAACATCTATTTTTATTAGCACAAAAAAAAAAATTATAATCATAGGGCACTAGTCACACATAATTTACATGTGTAGAGCGTCTCAAAGTCCATCTCTGCATGTTGTTTGGGTTTATTATAATGTTCATCTGGGAACGCAACATGCGCCATTTCATCAGATTTGTAAGGTAAATAATTTATAAATCTAGGCAAACACAGAATACATCGCAGTTTCAAAATAAAAGCTCAAACCCAGACTCTGAGTTTACACGTTTTGATGTCCACATATTCATTTAATTACAGTGGCTATAGCATTTCTGTCCTAAAGAAATGGCCAAATATTAAAGATTAAGTGGACATTTGAATGAAATGATGCTTGGTCAATATTAAACAAGTATTAGATCGCACAGCAATGTGTAAAAATAATCATTAGGCTGTTGGCGCCCTCTGCAGGCCTTTGTTGTAATGCGTAATGTACATTAGCTCTATTGTTTATTATACATGATGTATTTTAACAATTATTTGAACTAATTATTATTGCCTCATTGCTATTATATGTATTTTTAAGTCATTTTAAAGGCTATAGTTCACTAACATCTATTTTTATTAGCACAAAAAAAAAATTATAATCATAGGGCACTATGAAATCCGTTTTATTTCCAAATTCAGTTTTTTCAATTTTCATTTTTCTATACTCTGTTTTAATGGTTTTAAAAAGTTTAGTTTTTCAGAAATATTGCACATTTACATTTTTCTCCTAAACAAATTCTGGTAAATAATATTTCTGGTAAATACTCCTTTAAAAAGTGTTTTTTGATTATAATTTTATTAGTAGTAGACTAGAACACGTGGATATGTTGTCATTCTTACACTATAATACTGAACTTTGATTTCAGTCATTTGGACTATGAGATGGACACTTGCTTCTTGCACTTTATATTGTACTTTACTTTTTTACTTTTGGATTTCTTTGGTTTAATGAAATATAGCTGAATAAAATATTCTTAAGTAAAATTGTTGATTTTTTGTGGGAAATTAATCATTTAGATTAATCAATTAAACGATAAATTAGTCGATAGATTAATCAAAATAAAAATAGTCGTTAGTGGCAGCCCTATACATCATACACTACACAAGTATTCATTAAGGTTACCATAGCACTAGGTCCAGGTCGCACTTCTTTAGGGCTGCTGGTGGGTTTCTATGGTTACAGGCAAATCAGCCTGTATCATTATGACCTCACAGTCAAAAATACTCAGAATAAGGAGGCATGTCGGCCCATGTATATGCAGACTTAAACCATGACACTACTATTGTGTGAAGGCAGACAGTAAAAGTGTATCTGGTGTATTAGTGAGAGTCTTTATATGGAACAGAGACAAACACACTCAAACACGGAGATGTACAGACACACACACACGTGGCAGTAGTGATAGCAGGAGCAGGCTAAGGACAGGATTACTTACACATTGCTTCGTTAACCACAGACAAAGCGGCGGCCACCTCTCCTGCCTGTTCCAACCTCAGAGACTGGTCTAACAGAGACTCTGCCTCCAACACACACCTCTCAAAGCCTTCCCCTTTCCCTGCAGGTAAAAAACATCATAGCACAGCGCTTTTCAGCATGGAAACCAGCACACCTGCATTTCACACACACGTACACATGCAGTCCAAAGCTCCAAAGGATAAGCCACAGCAGAAACCCAAGGAAATGCATCCGGAGACAGAGCCACTCCCTTCGCCCCTGGCACGGCATGCTGACGCCTCACCTTGGTTCTGGAGCTCATCCAGATCCATGAACTTGCTGGGTCTGGGATTGAAGCCCATGGCCGCCTCTTTCTCCTTTTCCTTTCGCCTCTGTAACTCTTGCTCCTTGGCCCGGCGCGCTACTTCCTCCTGTAGCTCATCCAGTTCACTGCGGCCCTCACCTGCTACACACAAACACAAACATGAAAATATTAAGCAAACAATCTTGGATAATCTATTGCTGCATTTACACATTCAACCAAATTAGTTTTTTTGTTTTTCATGATCCAAATTTTTTGGCAATAAACTTTCCAAATAAGTTGACTGCCAAAAAAGTTGTCATCTGACTTACATGTAGTATTGTTATTGTTAACTAAAACGAAATCTATTAACAATAATTTTGGTAATTTTATTTCAAAGCTGAAATAGAAATATTCAATGAAAACGTTTAACCAACAAAAATTTGACATTTTTCCATCTAATTGAAATACGTCCAAGCTGAAGTACTAAAACTACTGAAACTGAAATATAAATGAAAGCTTAATAGAAGTAATATATATATAAAAATGAATAAAAATGGCAAAAGCACAAAATTATTAAAATGAACAAAATTTTAATGAAAATATAAAAATATTATTAAATACAATACAGCATATAATTAATACTAATCTTAGACTGCTTACATAAAAACCTTTGTATCGGATTCTCTTCTTAATTCTGAATCTTTCATCATTGTTACATGGTTGAGACAGCTGCTGTCTAAAGTAAACTATACGCAACCAGACCAAAAGTACCTCTTAATAATATGAAAAATATCATGCAATTATTGTGTGATTGATCACTGCTGTCACTTCATAAATCTGTAACATACACTAATTCCCACTATTAATGTAAACACAGTCCTAAGTGAATACAAATAGACAGAAAAAACCCCCAGATGTATGGCAAAATATTATATTTGTGCATTAAGCCTTGCAGTGTGATATCAGCATAAGAGGCACACAATTATAATATGCACAAAATTCTATACAACGAACAGTAGGCGGTGACCAAACACATCTATTCTGGTCACATGGAGAAGCACAAACAGATATAGCAGTTGATAGCTCTCCAGGGCAGACTCATGTTCCTCAGTTTACATAACAGATATACAGAGATAACATTTCACAGAAAGGAACAGGATGCATTTATGTTGCGGCTGATTCTGCTCAATACTGCTTGCTTATTATATTAAGTTCATATACTGAAACAGCAAAAAGGGCATGTGACATCTAGTTTAAACATGATTAATGCCGTAAGGTAAAGAACAGGTGAAATCGCCCACATGCTGACTGTATGACGACTATAAACACACACATTCACATACTGTACACACCTAAACTCATATGACTGCTGCTCTTGACTGATGCTTTGACATCCTGCAGTAAGGCACTGCTGCTCTTGGATTTGGTCTTCCATGATGGGCTGACATCAGGTGGAGGCTTTTTCATTCCTGCCTCTTGTAAGCTGGAAAACGCAGAGAGAGAGAGAGAGAAAGAGAGAGAGAGAGATGAATGATGTGCTAACAAAGATCCTTATCAGTTCTGACAAGCTTTTTTCCATTATACCTGTGTGTGCCATTACGGGTGCCCTCGCTAACAGGCATGTCGAGGCTGACGGGGCTGTTACTGTTCCTCTCACTGCTCTCATAGCCACTCTCCATCCTCTGGATAAGCCGCGGGGGCTGCTCTGATCCTCGTCTCAGGGGTCCCGGTAGGTCTTGAAAGGTGGTCTGTTCCGATGATGCCGCCAAGTCCCCCCGAGGCCCAGTTTCTTCAGACAAGAGAGCGCCTAGCGGACTGTACCCAGCCTGCTTGCGGCGTTCCCTGCTAAAGATGCTGTCGATGTTGAGGGCCTCACGGCGAGGCTTCCAGGGCGGACGGTATCGCCCTCCAGAGGAGCTGGACTTGGACTCACTGCTGGTGCTGTCAGCTTCCCAGTCTCGGGCTTTAGCGGTGAAGTCAGGTGGGCCAACGGAGCCCGAGGATGATGCGGAAAGCGGCCGGTTATGGATAATGTTGCTCATAGTCTCCTTAAAGTCTCGAAGTCGATTGGAGCTAGGTTTAGGTAGGGAACGAGGAACCTGCTGCTCTTTTAAAGTCTCGCCTGTAAAAGAGAGGGAGAGGAAATCATTTTTAAAAAAAAGAGGAAGGAAGAATGTTATTTTTACATAACCTAATATTACTGTACACAGCCAGTACAAGCAACAGAGATGACTAATGCAGCTCGCATTTATTGTCCAACATGCTACTCAATCCACTAATGAACTGTCAGAGCATCAATCAACTGACCACAGTTACGGATTATTAACCAGGTTTCTATTAAAATAACACAACAATGTTTGCATTGTGGTTTGGTGACAGCATTATATTGTTTAACTGCATACCTTCGCTGTGGTAGCCGGCAGACAACACCTCATCTGTCTTAGAGCAACGACTCCTTGAATCACCCCGGGCCTCAAATTTTCGTGGCCTGCTGGCACTTCGTTTCCGGTCCAAAACTCCTCCCTTTCTGTCCAAGACCCCATCTTTTCTGAGAGTGTGGCGCTGCACTTGATCGCTGTCAGGACCTTCACAAGCGAGTAACAACCAAAGTCACTATTTGAATTGTAGAGCAGTAGGACTACAGGTGGCGCAACATTAACGTTGAACCGAGGCACTCCGAGACACTGAAAACATTTGATCATGAGCTGCTGATGTGTAAATGAACACAGTGCCATGCTTTACTCCAAAACGCTCAAGCACATATTTCTTTAATTATATCACAGCATTTGCTATTTGATAAATAAAACAAAATCAGATCGACCATTAATTGTGCAGCCCTAAGCAGGACATAAAACAGATCACATTAAGTTTACTTCTGTATGGATCAACTCAGTGCCAATATACCTAATATGGTGTCTAAACTGTCTTTGATTCTAGTGTGAGTGTACAAACTGACATACCTGTGGTTTCCAGGCTGCTGTGGGAGGCGGAGTCGTTGTCCGGGTTACAGATGACGGTTCCCTGGGAGTCAGAGGAGAAGTGGGAAGCCATAGACTCGTGGTGGGAGTGTGAATGCTTATAGCTGTAGCTGTCTGTGGAGGAGTCTGTCCGTGTGTCGCTGGAAATTGACGGCTCACGGCCTGACAAAACAAACAGAAGATCTGATGCTTATCACTGAGGCTACCAACTGGGGAACCCATATTGCTTTAAAATTTTGATTCTGGAATTTTTAGTCAAAAGCTGTGACTGGCAAAAAGAGTTTTGAGAGGTGACAGGGCACTGCTAGGTATTCTGGGTGGATGTTTACTCAGGTCAAAGGAGCTCATCCCAAGTTTCTATTATGTTCTGGTACCTAGATATAGCTCTGATATAACTATGATGTAGCACAACATTTAACTCTAAGGCAAAGTTTTGTTGTTTTGTCTTTGTGTGTATATTACCCTGTGCACCATTTATTCATGAGTATTAGCTATGTTTTATGGACAGGCTACTTATGATGAACTCTATTACTATCTATATTATCGGTATATTGTAAGGTAAAAAGCAGACTTTGGTAGTTCAAGTAGCTCAGTATATTGACATCATATCTTCTAATGAAATATATGGTTATTACAGCTGCTGATTCTTTACTGTTTAACAGAATTTTTCTTTTTTACACCGACAGTCTTAGCAAACTCCACTAAAGATTTGTCTATAAAGCAATGCATAGATATAATTATTATAATCAGTATTGAAATATTACTTGTTTTATTATGAATTGAAACATTTGCTTTACTATGTAAAACATCCTCCTGAAGGTGCACCAAAGAAATTCAGTAAAATAAATTTGACCAGTTAGGGCTGTCGCGATAACCGCAATATCGCAATACCGCGCTATTGACGAGCAAACCCGCAGAGGAATGCAAGAACCGCAGCAACCGCGATTTTTGCGTGTTTTATTTTTCCGTAAGGTTATGCCCTTCTTGTTTTACACTTCATGCATGTGGACTAAATATTAAACAAGTTAGTAATGATAACATAACGTGTACCATGCTGATTTGTACAGAGGCTCCGTAGATTTGCACTTAACAAGCCTAAACACACAGTGAATGAGAGAGAGATCGACTGAGCGCATGCGATTACTTGCGTCTGTCCTCCAGGCCGAGTCATATTTGTGAAAATAGGTTGTCATGTCCAAGGAAAGTGAAATCTCTGTCTTAGCATTGATGCATAGCTGGTCAGCTGAGCCTTCTAAAGTGTCGCTCAAAGTTAAAATGATTTCAACAGCGTGTTTCATTACGTCTCTTTGAATGAATGAATCAGCGTTTTTGAACGTGTAGTTGAATGACAGTCACGTTCCACCACCTTGTGGCGCAACACTGTACATGCACTGACTGACAGCCCGTCTAGAACGCAGCGTGGGTGCAGGTGGAAATATCAATAGAAAGTCTCTTGTCTAGTCAGATTAGAAAATCAGATTACAACTAGGCTAACTGTTATACATATAGGCTAACGATAGCCTAACGATCTTATTGTCAGGTTTATGTTCTGTTATGTGGACCGTTATTTTGTCATTCTCTTCTGTTTACTTCACCTGTTTCAACGCTATTTGGTTTCGGTCTCATTGTCTTCTGAATATGACCTCGTTAGTTATATCGTAACACATACACACAAATTATATATATATATGGCGGTAATACCGCATACCGCGCTATTGAGCCACTCAAAATTACCGCAAGGGAAATTCCCTCAACGCAACAGCCCTAAAGACCAGTAAACCGGCCTTATGCTGGTGTGCAAGTACCTGAATCCTCACTGTCGTAGTATGCTTTAGTGTAGTGATGTAGGTCTACCATCGTTTTATTTCTAATTTAGGTAAAATAGTACAGAATTTTAGTATTTAATACAATTAATATTTCATACTTAAATAAAATTCAGCATTTATTAGTTACCAGTCATAATATGGAAAATGCAAAAGCTTGGGGTCAGTAAGATTTTTTTTAACGTTGCTGAAATTAGTTTTCTATATGAAATCTGATATCTATTTTAATATATTTTAAATTGTAATTTATTCCTGTGATGGAGTCTTTAATGTAGATATTGATCAATTTAATGCATCCATGCTGAATAAAAGTATTAAAACATTTGAACGTTACTGTATATTGTCGGCATGTGCCAGATTTGTGCATAATAACTTATTGACGTTCACTTGCTATGAACATTGTGCCATTCCTGTCTTTATGTTATGACCATATACAGAATGTGCACTAATGACTATTGACGCACTGAGTTACTGGCATGTGCACATATACCTGCACACACAGACAAACGCACAAACACAGACTCCTAAGTGGTGAGTCAACAAGCTGTCGAATTATGTAAAACAGCACACGCACATACATTCACCCACCCACCCACCCACCCCATGCTGGGAGCCTGTGGGGCACTGCTAAATAACTAGCCAACACATTGGTCTATCCCAGTTAATGATTCTACACAAACTCCCTATGGACAGAGCTAGCAAGGAACATTAGATCAGGGCATGTATAAATAAAGCCCTACGAACAACATATACAATTTATATGTTTATGTGAAGATTGTTTTAAAATCATTTAATATTTCAGAGCTTATTAAATGTTAATTTAATAGTTCAATACTTTAAGTCAATACTTCATTAATAATAGGATACTTACTTAGTAAATAGATGCCATTAAAAACATTTAAAATATACTGTCTTGATGTTGTTTCTACATTCATTTGGAGGTTCAATGTGAAATTATTACAATATAAATATGCAATTAATCATGATTAATTACAGAAAAATGTGTGATTAATATTTTTTAATCGATTGACAGACAGCACTAATGTTAACCTTTTATAGATTTTAGATTACAATTTAATTTCTAATTTTATAGGTCCCCCCAGAAAGAGATCAGGACAGCCCCCACCCCCTTGGCCCCCTTCAAATTTTCAGTTTGATAATCCGGCCCTCAAATGAAGCTAATTGAATAGCCCTGCTCTAATCCGTTAATATGGGAGTGGAAAAAAATACGCTCCACATATGCACTGCAAACGGAGTATGTGTGAAACAGGCGTAACACGATGGCCTGCTCCGTTTGCTGAAAACATACAAAGGACGAGAACCTCATCGTTTTTTTAGGGACAAAAAGAAAAAAGTTACATCAATAAATCTGTTAGTTTTTTTTCCTTGAAAGTAAAGTAAAGGACAAATTAAAAACATTGTAAATATGTTTAGTCATTGTAGTAGTAATAACTGGCTGTTTTTGCAAAAAGAGTTTCATGGCCGGTAAAAAAATTTGATTGGCCAGTAAATTTGATCACATCACCGGCCATTGGCAGGTGTGGCAAGAAGTTAGTTTTAGGCCCTATATGTACATATATATAGACTACTTATATAAAATTCTTGTATTTTTTATGTACAATTTAAAAAAATGGAAAAAAGAGAAACATTTTATAAGTTTATATTTCATTTCAGTTTCATCTGAAATCTGATTTCTATTTTAATATATTTTAAAATGTAATTTATTCCTATGATGGTGTCTTTACTATAGATATTGATCAATTTTATGCATCCATGCTGAATAAAAGTATTAGAACTTTTGAACATTATTGTATTTTCGACATGGTCCAAAATTTTAATATTTGCGCATAACCATTCATTGACGTTCACCTGCTATGCATGTTGTGCAATTATGTCTTTATGTTACGACCATATATTAAATGTGCATTGATGACTATTGATATGCATTGAGCTACTGGCATGTGCACATATACCTGCACACACAGACTCATAAGTGGAGAGTCAACAAACTGTTGAATTATGTAAAACAGCACACAAGCACTAACGGAGCAAACACACACATACATTCACCCACCCACCCACCCACCACATGCTGGGAGCCTGTGGGGCACTGCTAAATAACTAGCCAACACATTGGTCTATCCCAGTTAATGATTCTACACAAACTCCCTATGGACAGAGCTAGCAAGGAACATTAGATCAGGGCATGTATAAATAAAGCCCTACGAACAACCCTGGCAAACCGGCAAGCTAAGGGCTGCATTTTTCACATTCACTGGTTACACAAAGCCCAGATTATTACCTCTTTCACATGAGCGTCATCGAAGTAAATCCACTTGCGGATTTTGGTTTGGAAGAAGAAAGTAGAGTAGTGTTTGCCATAGTAACAGACCACGCCCACAAGGTAGAGCTCCGCCTGTTTGGCCTTGTCCTCTGTCACTCGGTAGAACAGCTATGGGTGAAACGAAGGACGAGAGGTCGCTTATTACTCAAATACAAACACATTCACATACACACATAAAAGTAGACCCACACAACCAAACCATTTCAAAGATTACCTATTTTAAGTGACCATGAGATCTTTCAAAGGCATTAAAAACATCTGTGATGGAGATTATCAAAACACCACTCTTGATCTCTAGATGTATTTCAGTTTAAAATAATAATTTGTTTAGGTCTTAAAACGGTTTTACATTTCACATTGAAACGTGAACCCAGTACTTAGTGAAATGCAAACCCACTTAGGACACCCTGTGCCCGCCCTGTGTCCTAAGGAAGCCTGAAATCAGTGGCAGAGAGTTGCTTTTATGTGTGAGTCATTGTCATTGATGCAACAAGTTTGACAAGTTCTGCCAGTAATTCCCATGTGCATCACAGTGATCTCAGAGTTGTAGCACTGCTGTTTGGAGCCGAATGCATTTATCACCGTCTATAACTTCAAAAGCTTCTGTTTTCAGTTGTGGATTTGTTCATCTATCAACCGATTTATATCAGTGGAATTGTGTGTAGTTTGTGGGATATTTTAACTACTGGCAGGGTGCATGTCTTACATCTCCGAGCCGCAGGACGGTGCCCAGGCTATGAATGACGTCTTCTGCTAGGTCAGAGTGGTCTGAGTCCCACACCAGGCCAATGGTGATGATCTCTGGGGAGTTCATCAGGACACGTCGAATACGGAGCTTCTCTCCACAGTTGCCCTGTAGAGGAAAAAAGGGCAGAGGAAAAAAATTTTTTTAGTTTTTTTTTTTATATATACTGGAGCTTGAAAGCTCTGGAGCTATAACTTACATTAACTACACTTATATTAGCCATTACCATTAATTCCCATTCCCCCTGCCCGAACTTACACAGTCACCCTAATATAGATCAGAAACCACAGATGAACACCCATATTTTGTGTGTGTGTTTAGGTTGCATGAAGCATGTCTGAGGGTCAAGATAACATGTCTGTTTCAGATCTACACAGATTGTTCTTCAACTTTCAAATGTGTTCATTTCTAAAGGAAATCTTGCCATAGTGTCAACTCAAAACATGTTTACTTCCATTAATACTAGTGAACAGACAAACATAAAAGCATAATGTCATCTACTAATGTAATGATTCATTATTATATGAATGTCGTATATGAATATCAGAGAAGTCAAAATTTAAGCTTGGTTTAAGCTTGAATTAGAAAAAAATACGTACTTGCCATTGCCAATAGGCTTTAAAAAAAAACCTTTGAATATAAGATGTTTCTAATGCTCAAAATATCAAAATACGGTAAAAACAGCAAGGTTAAAAATATGAATACAATTTAGAAACTGGTTTGTATTTTCATATAATGTCATTTATTCCTGTGATGTCAAAGCTGAATTTTCAGCAGCCATTACTCCAGTGTTCAGTGTCACATGACCCTTTCAATGCTGAAAACAGATGCACTGTTTAATATTTTTGTGGAAACCATTATACTTTTTTCAGGATTCTTTGATGAATAGAAAGTTAAAAATAACAGCATTTATTTGAAATATAATTTTTTTGTAACATTATAAATCTCACACTTCTGAAGGAAGTATTAATTTTGTATTCCTGACTTATGTTATTTTGCCTCTGAAGTAAATATATCTTGTTTCATGGATGTTTAGATATTTTTGCTGGAAAACAAGACAAAAATACTGATTAAGAAAATATTTTTTTTGCAATGTGATAAGCCGTCATGCCTTATCCAAGGAAATCCTGATCTGACATGAAAACAAGTGTGCGTGTTTTGCGTAAGAATTTGGTCCTCCTCAGGGCCACGAGACAAATTAACATTCCACTGATTGTGTCCTGTTTTGACCCAGCGATTACTTAATGGGCACAATCCTATTCAAACCCAGACAAGCGCCACATCCACACACACATACACATACACACACACACACACACACACACACACACACACACACACACACACACACACACACACACACACACACACACACACACTTCATTATGCCTAATTAGCACTTGATTTGATAGAGCTGAGTGTGTGGCGGAGTGTGGTAATGCTAACTGGGCAGTTGCGCAGGTCTCCCACAGTGCTGGCGTTCCTCAGCAGCTCTCCGAACATGTCTGGGGTGGGCTTCTCCCGGCATTCCAGCATCCGCACTGCCTGGTTACTGTAGCATAACCAACACATGTCACACATTAAGATAGCACAAGCAATACACTGCAGCTCTCATATCTGTAATTACGGGTGAAGTGTTTGTATTTGTATTTGTTAACAGCCTATAATTACTATATGAATTTAAAAATAAAAAATGGAATTTGTAACGCTAACCTAAACAACTGACTCAAGTGTTTAAGGTGTGTTTGTGTACAGTGTTTTATGTATTCAGAAGGGTTTTCAGGGAGGTCACAGTCCAGACCGGTCTGATCGTATTGTTGCAGCAGAGGTCACTGCATCTCAAAGACACTGCAACACTGCGTGCCTGGAGCAACATCACAGCTCAGGCAGGTTTCAGGGAGACAGCCTTGCCAATGTCACAATGTTACCAGGACAGGCTCCTCCCAGTGAGAGTGTGTATACAAAAAATATCTTAAACATTCTCACTGACATTAAAATTCATCAAAAATAATATTATAAAAGAGTATAAAATCTTCTTGTTCAGAAATGTTGCCTGGTTGAGAGCCATGTTTGAAGCTGTTATGCTCACATCTTTGAGGGAACATCATTTGAATTTTATATTAATGGGCCAAGCTGCTACATTCACTGGTATTAATAAACAGCCTACATTAAGGCTAAAAAACAGTTTCAAAGGCATCTGAACTGAATCTGTAGGCAGCATTTCAAGGTATCACAGGCCTGCTCATGAAGGCTGTCCCAAAAGTTAAGAAATGCAACTCCCTCAGATACCATGTTTTCCCAAATAATTGGAGATGGCATTCCTGACTACTTTTTTCTTAAAATCTGTGTTAAATATATTTATTCTTATCAGAATATTGAATAATTTATTTTGTGTTGCATGTATTGTAACTCATTTGAGCCAGCACTATTTGTCCAACTAATTTCCTGCCTATGACTGCACATTTCATGTTATAGGCAGTAAGGCAGGTCACTAGGTTTAATAGTATACAATTATAATTGTTTAATAGTATAAAACTATACTATAACTAGAGACAAACTACAATGCTTAGCTAAATAATTTTTTTTATTATTATTGTATTCATTTATTACTCCATTAGCTGTAATACTTTGAGTGGGACAACAACAGTTCTCGGGTTCAAAGACACAGGCAGTCAATGTCCTTGTGCAGAAGAAAGCTCTTCTGCACTGCAATGTCAGCTATTATCATAAAAAGCCTCCTTAATCACAGAGCTGCATGCTGGAATATTCATGAAGTCCTTTCATCGCTGTTGTGCTTACAAATGTTTGTTCACAACGTTAAGTATCTGCTCCACTGGCAGGCTGAATGCAGTAATCCAGACTGTGTCCGCAAATGCGCAGCTCTAAAAGCAGATGGTGACAACATTTGACTGCAGAGTTCAAGGGGAGCTGCACCCATGATTAAAAGCAGTGGCACTGCTGTCCAGGAGACCTAGAGTAATATTTAAGCTGGCTGTTGCCATGTGCTCTTGGCCATTGAGGGAATCTCTCTCTGTTCTGATTGATTTCACTGTGTTTGATGTGGCAGAGAGCTCATTTGCTCAGCTGGAGAAGAGTATAGGACATGATGTTTTCTGTGCCGTACAGTGTGGCCCTTTTCGGTCCCAGCTTTCAAAATGACCTCATTCTTTAGCATCACTCATTTTTGTGCATGTGTATGTGCTGCAGGGATGATTTTGCTCACCACAGAGAGGTGGTGGAGATGTAGTGGACCATCTGAATGAAGGGTAGGGGGTCTGAGGAGGCTCCACAGTTGCTGCACACACACTAAGTGAGAACAAAAAACGATATCTGTTCAATAATCTTTTCTATACAAACAGACAGAGTGGGAAACATTATTTTATATTAAAAACTAGGTGTATTAGGGTTCCCACACTTTTCGACACAACACAAATTAATTAATTGACAACTGATTATTATCATTATTTCATTATTTTCATATGACTTTCCCATGACATATATGAACTTTAACCATTTGATGACTGGAATAGGATTTTAAAAAATTATTTTACAAGGATATCACTTACAAAAAAGTGATGAAAAAAGGTTTAAAAGTGAGCAAAAATATATAAAAATACATTTGATACAAGCAATGCATGTTATTATAAAAGAGAAATTATCAATGATCAATTATTTAAAAAATTACAAATATTTACTGACATGTGCAATGTAGACAGGTCAAACTATAATCCAACTAAATGCTGATATATAATACACTGTTTTACATTTTCTACCACCAAATATTGAGTGTCATTCAGAAATACATCCTACTAAATGATTTACCAATGGAATTCATAGTGCCTTTAAAAATATTGCTCCTTTTTAATAAAAAGGCTTCACCTGCTCAAAGAGTGTCATGGCAAACTTCTGATGAGGGATGCAGTGTTTGGCTGTGCAGATGTCCTCCTTGGTCTCATCAGAGATGTGAAAGTGGATCCTCATGAGGATATTCTCCTGTGAGAGAGACTTATTGCTTAATTATCACCAATCAGTGTGCTTAAATCAAAATCTCACTGAAGAGAAACAGCATACATCTGTCCTGTATGTCTCATGTTAATTGATTCTCGCCTTCTAGTGGGTGTGTACCGAGTCTGTGAATAACAGCATGCTCAGCTCTTTTGGCTGAGGGATATAGTTGAGAATGTTGGGATTGGGGAAGGCTTGTGTTCTGTAGGGAGATGTTGAAAGTTCACAAAACAACTGCCCTTCACCAGCGCCTCCAGTCTTGCATAATGACCAGACAACAATAGCGGTTAAGGGGGAAAAAATTAACATTTGCAGTCTGTGGTCGCAGTTCTTACTGGTCAGCACATTGTACGATGTTGCTAAACAAGCAGTAGAAAGAGGCTGAGACAGGGAGCCATTCTTTATCTTATACGTTATGATGCTATGGCCTTTAAAATGAGCCATTGGGAGAAAATTAATCACTGCACAAAATAGGATGTGTGTCTATGAGATTACAGAAGATTACAGAGTCAAACAAGGTTTACATTTTCTGTACTCTCAAGCATCCTGCCAAGAGACAAGAGATAAAAACTGACATGAAAGCAGACATGCAACCAAAAAAATACAGGGACGGACCGATACAGGGCCGAGAGGATATCAAACACCTTCCTTCTACTTGGTGGACTCAAGAGCTAAGCTAACAATGTTCACAAGAAATGTCAGAGTGCATTTTTCCTCTTCAAGAAAATCTACCTCTTGAGCAGAGAGTCTAATTTGGCATGTGAAAGAATACTATAGTGTATTGAAAAAGCAAGGACATGGAGGAGAATAGCAGGAAAAGCCGTAATGCGCTATAGGGGAGGAAAGCTAAAGGGCGATGGTGAAGAGTCAAGAGCCCTTACGAAGCACTCAGCTGCATCGTCCATAATGCCGAGCTGGAATCGCTGCTCATCCTGGAAGGTTTTGGCTAGAGCGCAGCGGAGAGCGTCAGAGGGCAGCACCTTCTCACTGCTGAACTGGAACTGCACAAAGATGCTCTGAAAAACAACCACAGCTTTCGATTAATGTTAAAGAAAACCAACACCAGCTCATCACACAACTTCTTTCAAAAATGGGCAATAAGTGTACCTTTATACAACAGTTTGTCACCCTGTATCCAGTTACAAACTGTTGTATAAAGAGTTCAAATCTCTTTCAAATGTGAAAATGAATATGATGTTTAAGATTAAATGTAATTTTTAATGTAGTCAATAATCACAACTTCTTTTTTATATTAAAAAAAGTACCATGACAAGCAAAGACATTTTAAAGATTGTGTTTTACGAAGGAAAGAAAGTAATACAGATGATACGATGGTGAGTAAATGCATGAACTTTAATTTTTGGGTGAACTATCCAATTAAAAGCCGTATTTTTTTCCCCTCTTAAGCCACATTTAAACAGCATAATTAAGTCTCCTGGTATATATGAACACATCTAAGATTTCAAATGCTGTAAAGCAAGACATGTCTGTCTGCAAGACTTCTGTGCTGAATCAAGAAACTCCTCAGTAAACAGTTATTACAGGATTAACTTCTTTACTTTGAAGGCTGAAAACTCTTGAGAGATTTGAACGAATAAAGGCACTGCACTTATGTCACTGCCCGTGAAACATACTGGAGTAAAGTCAGAAAAACACAGACAGCCGAATACAGAGGCAGTACCAGACCCATGAGAGCGAGAGGACAGGCTGACAGACATATTGTCCCAGTCCTGTGTGTGAGAGCAGACAGGCAGCCCCCTACTGCGCTGACACAGGGCTCAGGAGAGAGATCTCTAATTTCCAGCTGAGTTATTGAACTTTTGATGGAAAGCGCCAATGGCAATCCTGAACATTAGAAGGAATCTAATATAAAATGAGTGTAAGGGAGGGACTGAAAAGAAACGGAACGGAAAAAGAAATGGCACAGCAAGAGCTGAATACACGCAACACTGCTTGCCATGTAGCTATAGTTAAACACAGGATAGCTAGTTGTTGATGCATATCTATACCTTCAATTCCATATATTTTATGTTTTCATAGTACGTCAACATACATATAATGGTCTGCCAACGCTTCGAAGCAGACAAAATGACAAAGTAGTGATTCAACACTGTTTTTTTAATGTTTTGGTATCAGACAAAATAACTAGGCCTAAATAATAATTAGAACAGACATGTAAACTAGTAATTATACTAACAAAATTTTAATTATAGATTTGTTTCTCACTTGAGAATGAATAGCTGTTACATAAAGTTGAGTAACTTGTGCAAACACAAGATGAAACAAGTTACTATCCTTTTGGATGCTCAGCAGTGTAATGGAGTTGCTGGGTGCAGTTCTTTATAGACTTACCAAATGAAGCCATTTATTAGTAGACCCAACATAAAAAAAACAGGTTTTGGTGACCACTGACTTAGAGATATTTTGAGAAATGTCTCAGAGTTTGTTTTTTATAATGTTCCACAGAAGAAAGAAAGTCACAGAGGTTTGGAACGACATGAGGGTAAAGAGTAAATGATGGCAGAATTGTCATCTGTGGGTGAACTATGCCTTTCAACTAAAAATGTACTTTTATCTGTAAATAAAGTGGGTCAAGCCAATTATCTCTGCTTTTACAATAAAGTTATTTATTTAGACACTATTTAATATTTGATAACATTTCAGAATCTTGAAGCATATACAGATGGCAGAAACACATTAGCCTTCATATAAAAAGTGAAAGTACAGAATTAGAAAAGCTATAATGGACCAGAGATCCCTGTCAGCTCCATGAATTTAATGCATCATGAAAAAAGTAAAACCCTGATGGGCTCAGTGCTTTACCTTCAGAGCGCAGAAGATGCACGAGTCCTCCATACACTTGTGTGTGGTGAGCTGCCGGAAACTTCGCCGGAAGATATCCAGATGCCAGAGAACCTATAAGAAAAATGTGCAATTAGTCGTAAGAAACGTTTACATCGTCCTCTGATCTTTGATGCTGCCTGCGCATGATATGAGAGTGCTCTGAAAGGCTGAGAAAAGGTTCAATCAAGCATCAGACACTCAACAAACCTTCTAAAATGCCTGAGAAGCTCAAGTCATCAAAAATGCATCAGGCTAAAAAAGCACTTGCACCGCCTGCAGTTGACTTTCCACCTCTTCCTAAGTGTCTCTCTCAGAAGGGCAAGGCATCTAAAGAAGTCGAGTCAGGTTGGAGATGGAGATTGTGCAAGTTGTATCTGACGCTGAACGACTCCTTTCCTAAACAATCTCCTAAATCCAGCTTTCTTGACACACCGTAATACAATCTCAACCAATCACATGAAAGAAGCAATTAGGTCTCACCAATCAGGTGTCAAAGATCTGATAAGCCTGTGTGCTCTATCCAAGAGTTTGAAGAAACGGGAGCAGGTTCACAAGCAGAGCAAAGTCTGATAGTAAGATGAAGTGATGAGCGTGTTTCCCAGCTTTAGTCTTTCATCTTGAGGAATGTATGCATCTCCAGGTGAAGGATGATGCGGAATGTCAGCGGAACAAACAAAGACCTGCTAGGCTCCTGCTGGGCAGCTCACATGCACGCACAGACACACAATCATGCACACCTCCCATCTGGCCGTGCCTGGGAGGCTGCGGAGGTCGAGCTGACCCCACCTGCCCGCCATGAGCGGGGACTTTGTGTGCCATGGCCCCGCTGCTCACCCGGCAGATCTACACGCTTGCTGAATTATTAAGAGAGCTGTCAGTCCCACTTAACACAACTCAGTTACCCAAATGAATCTGCCGTCTAACTTTACCTTCAGAGATGCCTTAATCACTCTAATAGTGACAAAGTCTGTCAATGAACTTCAAAAGTTAGCTGGCCTGTAAACCAAAACGTTTAAGAGACCTTCTTATGTTTCAGTCAGAAATCTTAAGCAGAGCTGTCCATTTGGCTTACTTTGAACCCCTTTAAAATCTATAGTGCTGACAGAATCAATTTCAGAGAGTAATTTCACAAATCAGAGACACAAAGTAGAAAACATCTGTTTGGGGCTGTGCGTGGGTCTCTGCACAATAAAACTTAATAGTACTCAACAGCACTGATCTCTCATGCCATTACGATCACCCTGTATGACCTGCTGACACTCTTTGCATGGCAAGTGAAACTGTAAGGGAATAAAATGTATGAAATGCAATGTTTTTGTTAAACACAAAAGCTTGAATGTAAATATTTCCTCGGGCATGAAAATGTGCATCAGAGGACTCTACAACACGATCACAAGTATTCATCACAATCAATAAACTCCATATTTTTGTTTGCAATGTAAACCACATGGTCTTAGGAAAACCAGTTTTTACTTGAAGCCTTGCCAAGCAGTGCTAAAATATAAAGATGTGAGTGTTTTGGGACAGGTTGACAGAAGAGTAATTTGCCCTTTTGGGCCATTATATCTAAAATAAAAAAAAAATTAAATAATACATTTAAAAAAAAAAAAAAGACACTCTAATGGCGCTTTTCCACTGCGTGGCTCAGTACGGCACAGCACGGCATGGCTCGGTTTGCGTTTCCACTGCAGTTTAGTATCACTTTAGAGTGGGCGGAATTATTCACGTTGCTATAGTTGCGCTGAATTATTAATTCCGTGACTCCTGAAAAACGTTTTCATTCCGCGTCGCCCCATCAAGCTGTTGCTGAATCCGCTCCTCGGCTATCAATGAGAGAAACGTCTGTACTTCCTCAACAGAAAACGAAACAGCCACTTTTTGGTTGTTAAAAAAAGGTGCATTCGTTCAAAACATTTGCTTTCGATGCTTCACTGGCTGTGCTGATTTAAATCTAGCGGTTCTGTTGTATTTGTGTCAAGTTCAGTGACGCAGGTAGTGACGATTCTCTCCAGCCAATCCGTGATCCGCAGTTTACACGTCACGTTTTGGTAACGGTACGGTTCACTTGGAACCTAAACCGAGGTGGTACTAAAAAAAGTACCAGGCACTGTACCCAGTGGAAAACCCCCAAAAAGTGAACCGTACCGAGCCGTACCATGCAGTGGAAAAGCGCCATAACTGCACTGTAGAAGAAAGAAATGGTGTGATTTGTGACCAAAAACCTTACATACACTGACATACATAAAGACATTTTCAGGAGTTTCCTACAATAACCGTTGTTCTTGAAACACAGTCCTGGGGCCGGATTCACGAAAATCTTCTTAAGAAATAAGTTAAGAAATTTCTTAAGATAAATTCCACGAAGTTCGTAAGAATGTCCTTAAGTGCAATTCTTGAAAAATTCGTAAGTTCTCAAATATATTCTTAAGAGCATCTTAATTTTTTTCTTAAGAAGAAAATAACAGTCGTCATCTGAGTGAATACATGATGCTCTGATAAACTCACACTTTATTGTCTTTTTGCACTTCCTGCAGATTACCCTAATAATCTTAATAAGCACGCACATTATTTTCGTCGCGAGTTTGACTGGTGCTTAGCTTCACGTTTTTAATGCGCCGCGTTTTTGAACAGTTACTTTTAAAATAGCCTGTCTCAAGCTGCAGCGATATGTTTAATTCATTTTTGTGCTGTTTTTGCGCTCTCATCTGAGTGAACAATTCCGGTATGTGTGTCTGCGCTGCTACAGCAAACGCATCCTGCGCATTCATGTGCGCTGAATACTGACAAAGATTATGTCGTATTAATAAGCTAAAATTAAAAGCGTACAATTAAAGCTCCCTATCTGACTCATTTTAGAGTTGCTACTGAGTTTTGAAGTCAGTAAAAAGTAGCGTCACACATAGGCTAATCATGACCGATCATTGTTTACATTATCCGTCATCGCTGTCACTTCAGAAAACTTGTGCACATCCCTATTAATAGTCATACTATGTATTATATGTAGCTAGTGTTGTTGTAATGCTTAAATATAACAATTTATTTGCAAAATCCCAATAAATTAATTAAATAATTCTTACTGTTTGGGATTTAAGACAAGTCTGGGGCTGTCCTAAATTTAAAGGGGTCATATGATGCTGTTAAAAATAACATCATTTTGTGTATTTGGTGTAATGAAATGTGTTTATGCGGTTTAAGGTTAAAAAAAATTATTGTCCACATACTGTACATTATTGTTTCTCCTCTATGCCCCGCCTTTCTGAAACGCGGCAATTTTTACAAAGCTCATCGGTCTGAAAAAGTGAGGTGTGCTGTGATTTGCCAGTTATCCAGTGCGTTGTGATTGGCCGAATACCTCAAGCGTGAGACGGAAATGTTATGCCCCTCACCATATTGTGATGATGCCCTGTCAGGCCGGAGCGATAATTCAAAAACATGAAAACCCATTATAAACGAGGCATTCGTTGCATCCAGTGGGGACATAATTATGGATTATAATGACTTATACTGTCTTTTTACACGTTGCGTTGCATCGCGCCGCGTAAACATAAAACCATGTCTGCATTTGTGATCGGAGAAATGACAAACAATAAGCCCTACTCTACACTGCCCAAAAAACTCGCTTTAAATATATAAAATATAAAAACTCTTTAAATATAAAAAAAGTGTTCTGGAACAGTGTTGTAAATACAACTTAACCACTGTTTTCTAGTCGTGTCCATTTTTGGAAGGCCAAATAAAGTAGTTTCTCTTTCACAATGAAACAGCGTCACACACGGCGGCCTATAGTGAGCAGAGGCCGGGGGCTAGCGTGAGGAATGGCGGGAGGGTTAGAGTGAGCAGAGGCGGGTGGGCTTGAGAACGGCACGGCTGGCGATTTCGACGAAGCAGCGTCCTGGAGGACATGTGACGACTCCGGGCTGGACTCCGCTTCGTCCATGGTGAAAGCCGATTGCTGTTGTGCAAGGAGGATGTGGCGGTTGGTCAGTGTGGAATTTGTCCTGCCCATCCTCCACTGTGATTGGACGGCTGACTAAAAAGTGAACACTGCCCAAAAAACTCGCTTTAAATATATAAAATGTAAAAACTCTTTAAATTTAGATAAAGTGTTCTGGAACAGTGTTGTAAATACAACTTAACCACTGTTTTCTAGTCGTGTCCATTTTTGGAAGGCCAAATAAAGTAGTTTCTCTTTCACAATGAAACAGCGTCACACACGGCGGCCTATAGTGAGCAGAGGCCGGGGGCTAGCGTGAGGAATGGCGGGAGGGTTAGAGTGAGCAGAGGCGGGTGGGCTTGAGAACGGCACGGCTGGCGATTTCGACGAAGCAGCGTCCTGGAGGACATGTGACGACTCCGGGCTGGACTCCGCTTCGTCCATGGTGAAAGCCGATCCAGCTATCGACAGCGCAAAGTTGTAGTATTTCCTCAGCGACCAGCACGGATCAGCTCTAGGCATGACGAAGCAGATATCGTCCTCTTTTGGAAGACCAAAAGCTTTCGCTTTCACAACGAAGCACACAGCGTCTTTACGACATGGCGGTGGCAACAACAAAACTACAGCGAGAATAAAAGTTACGCCTTCTTTCTTTGCGTGAACATTTGGGTGGTGTTATGCAAATCTTCCCACATAGTGAGGTAGATATGTGGGGGCGTGTTAGAACAAGCCGTTTTAGGTAGGCATGGTTGACTCTTAACTTTTATAAAGAATATCTCTTTGGATTTAAGACTTTAGTCTTTGCAACTTTACAGATCTTCTTTATGCACCAAGAGCTTGTAACACTCCAAAGAGAAAGGAAAAATTGAAATCGCATCATATGACCCCTTTAAGAAGTTATTTACGATGATTTTTAAGAAGATTCTTTTCAAGAATTTGAATTCTTCTCAAGTTTTGTCTTAAGAACAATCTTAAGAAAAAAGATAAGAATACTCTTAAGATTAATTTTTGGGAATACAAAATATTCTTAACTTTTTTCTTAAGTTAAAAAATAAGATGAAAATGGCAGTTAAGAAGAAATTTCTTCTTAAGAATGTTTCATGAATCCGGCCCCTGGTCTCCGGGTGCAAGTACGCAG